ATGTTCATGCACATACCGAGAAGCGTACACACAGAAAAACACAAATATTCTCAACTTGTGGTGTAATTATAAATTGTTAGTGGAAGGGAATAATCATTTCACTACTACCATAAACATACTAAAATAAAATCAAAGACCGAAATACTACCCACTCAATGGGCTCACTTAAAAGTATAAAAGAGTGCGACAGTAGGGGGGACTGGACCCCATAGGATGTTGGAAAATTATATGAATTTGTGACTGGCATGTCACCACATTTATACCTTAAACACATTAAAACGGCTACAATAGTTGCGCGAAATAGTATATATGTATATGCTCGATCAGCAAGAACAGCCTAATCAACCTAGACATTCCCGTCTATCTATCTGCGTATATGCCTAAAGGCGTCGATCTCCGGAACTATAAGAGCTATAGTCTTGATACGTACGAGTTTATTTCAACCCCACGTTTCAATAAAATCGATAAGATCGATTTTAAGCCTATCTATGTATATGTGCATATTTTGTACCTTACAAGAGCTAGAGACCTAAAGAAAGGTACATATGTGGCTCTTCTGTAGTATATACAGGTCGAAAATATTTAATTTTTTGGATGCCTGCCCACCAAAATTATAAAAACTTTAAAATTTTTGGGGCTTAGCCTTGTACTTTGGTAATTTCATACATTTCGATTTATATATGCCCTGAAAATTCGGTTAAGATCAAATTATAAACAGCTACATTAATCAAGAATGAATTTCCCATAATGTGGGGCTATGGGAAGACGATGTGTTTGGGTGTATATACCTAGAGTGGAGGGTTGGAGTGCTTGAGCAGTCTTACTTATTTTATTATGCACACCCTAAAGACATAAAACGCTACATTGCCAAAATTCTAAGGACATTTGAAGCGAAGCGAAGTAAATAGATATGTATGTAGTTCTTTCATTTGTGTGTGTTGTCCGTGTTTGTGTCAAATTTTAGCGCTAATACCTAACACGTGGTTAGGCCCAAAGTATAGCTCATTAACCCATCTTATGAATATACACAAATATATCCTGCAGCTCATTTGTGTTACGTTGGCTTTATTATGGCCTTTAATTACTTGACCAGTTGGCCGGCCTGAAAATTTAATGTAATAATGTCAATCCGGTTACTTGAATTTCAAACCCGTTTGTTGCCTTAGGCCTTCGCCCATGATTTTATTGCATACTTCTCCGTTCACAAGTAATTAATGTCTGTAAGGTATGTGAACAGTAAGTAAAGTATGTCTTATAATAATTAAACATATATAAATATAAAGATGAGTCGTATGTTTGCCTTTGAAAATGGGTGTTTAGTTTATGTCCATAAATAAATTAAAGTGAGCCGAAGTGTAATTGTGTTTGCTGAAGCTTACAAAATATTTGTGTTGCTGGTTTAATAGGTGCCACTTATTTGCGCCTTACGACCCTTAGGGTCATTAGGCTCACCAATAACAATGCTAATAGCCCTGGGTAAAAAAATGAACCAGATTATTTGCTGAACTGCAAAAACATTACACGCCATTCTATTTTATATTTATTAATAAATATGGAACACTTCTTTCTAGTTAAGCCCTGAAGTTTAAATTAATCTAATAATCAGATAGTATTTTCCCTTAAGCAATTTATAAATCAGTCATATATGACCACAAGTAAATGATTTTTGTGCAAATTATTTTTATGCACCCATTCCAAGCAACCTGCAATATAAAATTGAATGCTTCACATAAATAATAATCGAAAACAACTGAACAGACATTGTATAAGCTGACACAAACAACTCACAGTGTCGCGAGATCAGCTACAAAGTAGGTGGTCGGTGAAACGTACCGAACGGTGTATGCTGACACATACACGCGCGCGCTGAGTGACCAAGCTAAGAAAGGACCGCTGCCCCAGACCATGGACTTCGTGGGAAAAATTAAAGTTTTGTTAACTTCAGATTAGTTGATGAAGTTGACATGTATTGACAAGCTCTTTAATGAAGAGACTGAGGCAAACAGCTATTTGTTAGTTTTGTTACCAGATCTTTGCCAATGGGAGCTCTTGTCTATGGAGTTCTGACATTATTAGCCAAACTATTCATTCAACGGGCAACAGTCGAGCTGGCAGGCAAAAATGATATCAAACCTTATCCTACCACGAACTCAAACTCTCGCATGTAAAATGCCACGACAATGTCATTGCTGGCCAGTTGTTACATTGGCGTTAATTGGTGTCTTTCATTTGCTTCAGAGGTACTCGTTGCATTAGTATAAAAGACAGCAAACCTGTGCAATCAATACGAACGCCCACATCCACACCCGCCTCAGTCCGGTCAGCAGGATGGACAGCTTATAGCTTGTCGCGCACCTGGACCGCCCACCTTCGAAGTCCTGCCATAGAGCAACATATCAAACACAGTTTAGTTTACAGTTCGTAACAACTTAAGGTGTGTTACGATTCAATTCAATGCAAGAGCCCAAAAATTGCTGCAACAACAACAACAGCAACAAAAAGGGTATTTCGACCTGAATATAACTATATTGTATATCAAGTATAGTTTTGTTAAGTGCTTAAGTATTTATAATTCACTAGCTGGTATAACCCGGCCTTGCCCGTGGCACGTATGTTATCAAATCAATGTTCTCAATGTTTTTTGCGCAGAGGCGATATCGTAGCCAATGAAGTTCTACTGAGGTGCGATTATTGCTAGTTAAAATGATTTTGAAACTGATCGGACGGTAAACAAACAACTTTCATACAAACGTTTTCTGCCAATTTACCACTGTTGCGAGTGGAATTTCCCAAATCGCTGAAACACGTATTCATTACATTCTTATGTAGAGCTTTGAAAATAAGTTTGAAGCAAATCGGACACAACTTAAAACTTCGCACAAAAAACCTTTGTGTCGCATTCCACCCGAAAAAGTTTAGATTCTGCGAAAAGTGTGAAACACGTCTCAAATGATTTTTTTTATAGATCTCTGGAAATGAATTTCAGCGCGAAACGTCACCCACCAAATCTTTGACCTCCATTTTCACCAAGGAGGAATGGATTTTCCTAAAAGAGTGAAAATTCCCTCAAATGAATTTGAACAAAGATCTTTGAAAATTAGTTTGAGGCCGATCGAATGGTAAACTAAAAAGTTACATACAAACGTTTTTCGCGATTTTTCCACACTTGCGGGTGGAATTTCCCGAAACCCCGTCTTAACGTGCACCTACATCACATAAGGTACCTACAGTGAAATTTTCAGCTTCCTAGCTCTTACGGTTTGGGCAGTGCGTTGATCACCAATCAGTCAGTCAGTCAGTCAGTCAGGCCAAACAGTTTTATATATAGAAAACAGTTTTTGCTATCAATTTTAATTACTTAAATTGAAATTTGGCTGATGTATCAAATGGTATATGTTTGCAATCACTTGAAATTCAATTAAAACGCGATGCCAGTTGGCACTTGTTGTTGCGCAATGCTCACAAATAAAAAGTTGAAGAGATTGCGTTAAGGGGCAAGGGATAAGTGTATTTATGGAGTGGGCTTGAATGTTTGTGTGCAGCCTAATGTCTTTTATGTCCATTACACAGTGCAAAAAAATCCCTTAAGTTAAATTAATTTTTTCATCAATTTAAAAAAAAGGCTTAGCAACAAAAAAAACTACATAATAAGTAAGAGGTTCTAGTCGGGAGCTAGGGGATACCCTGAACCCTCTTCTTCCAACACCAAATGCAGCTCGCGCTACGCGCTCGTTTGCTTTAGTAGAAATAAAGAGATATTAAAAAAAAAAATTGTTCCCTTGGCAGGGTTCGAGCTTGCACCACTTGCCGCCGCCTCTACTTAAGAGCCACACCAATAATTGA